GGGGTGCTGGGACAGGCAGACCCCGACGTGCCAGGGGCCCCGGGTGAGGACAGGCCGGGGGCGGGTGGCAGAGCAGAAGCCAGATTCCTGTCACCTGCGGTTTTCCACAGTCCTGTTATGGCTCCAGGGCCACAGCACCTGTGGATGGGGCGCAGGGAAAGCCCGAAATCTATATTATTATATTAGTAGTAGAAGTAGTTTAATCTCTTTGATTTTGATTTTTTTGTTGTTTTGTTTTTTGAGACAGGGTTTCCCTGTAGCCCCAGCTGACCTGGAACTCACCATGTAGACCAAGCTAGCCTCAAATTCACAGAGATCCGCTTGCCTCTGTCTCCTAAGTGCTGGCATTAAAGCCATACACCCCACCCCTGCTGATTTATTTATCTTTATTTTATGTTTATGAGTCTTTGTATGTTTGTATGTGTACCACATGTGTTCAATTCTTATGAGGCCAGAAGTGGGTGTCAGGATCCCCTGGAACTGGAGTTAAGGATGGTTGTTAACCTCCACGTAGGTGCTGGGAACTGAGCCCAGGTCCTCTGCAAGAGCAGCCAGTGCTTTTAATCACTGAGCTGGCTCTCCAGCTAAAAGACACAGAACAGTTAACCATATTACAGAGGGGGAAACTGAGGCCCAGGCTTGTGAGGTAGTGACCCTTGCCCACAGTTGTGACTCACAAAGAAGATACTGAAGACCTTAGGGTTCTGGAGGAATGATCAGTAGGCGAGGGTTCCACTTGCATTGGTCAGCAGAAGCAGAGAATGTGCAGCTCGCCCAAGGCCGCCATGCAGATCTGAGTCCCTTTGCCCCTGTGCCAAAGACAAGAAGTCCAAGGTCCAGATTCTAGCCCAGATTCACCTGTTAGGGGTTGCAAGTGTCTTAAGGCTGTAAATGAAGATTTCTGGAATGTTCCAGAATAGTCCAGAATATTTTGGAACCTTCCAGAATGTGCCATAATGTTCTGGAACATTCTGGGCTTTGGGTGATTGCTATTGTCAGGAATGTCAGGAATGTTAAGCACCTGAGTCAGGAGGGGTTAATAGTGCTAAACTTTGAGAGCATGCTGAGCCTCAGTTTTTCCATCTTTACATTACACAGAGAAACCAAAGATGGTGGAAGGTGCCCGGATGAGTGATGATGTGGGGGGGGGGCCTGGCATATCCTGCCAAGCCCGCTGGTGACCCCCAGGCCTGAGCCAGCTCTGCTGCACCTGTGGTTCCTGTGCCACCCACGCAGCACACCTGGGCCCCTCTCCCCACACCTGGCTGGGTGCAGCTGGGGAGAGATCCGGAGGCCATAGCTAGGGCTTTCTGGAAGCAGGCAGGGGAAGGGCTGGTTCTGGGTTCATGAAAGACAGGCATGGGGGGCCTGGGAAGCGGGTCCCCCTCATCTCCAGATTACAGTGCTGTACTGTTCCTAGTGTAGCAGTGCTCCCCTCCACCCACCAGCAGGCCCCAGGGAGAAAATCCCCTGCGTGCTTGTAGGTCTGCCCCCCACCAAGCCGGCGCCAGGGAAGTACTGGGAGTCTGATACACAGACAGCTTCATCCCGTCCTGAAAGCTGATGGGCTCATCCTGGGCCTGGTGGAGCGATTTCCAGGGTCCCCCATCCTGGGCTCTGGGCCCAGCTCTCTGCTCTGGAAAGCTGGGAACTCTGGCTCGGGGAGAATTAGAAGACGCCTTGGGTCACACAGCACTGGGTGGAGGTATCCTGTGGACCCCCGCCCCCCAGGGCTGGCCCCGACAGGCCAGTGGCGGGTTCCTTTGCCCATCCTGGGCCTAGGCAGCAGAATTCAAGTCCTGCCCAACTTTCCAGTTGTGCGATCAAGGTGAGGACCAGGAAAGTCACACAGTACAAATATTACTAAAACGAAATGTCCACAGAACAGGTAGTTTATGATGTAAAAGCCCATACTGGGAGTGACAGTGGCAGGAAGCCTGTTGCTGCTAGGTGCCACCTTGGGGAGGAAGAGGAGGCCAAAGGTCAGGGTGTTCCGAGAAGGGGAGAGGTGACTTAGGAGGCCGGCTGGGTGTGGGCACTGGGCCCTTGGCCCACACCTAGGGCCATAGCACTTCCCCAGGAGCACCTTCCCCATCCAGCAGCCCATCCCCTGACCCCCTGGAGCTGAACCCTGGGTCTGTCAATCTCCTGGAGGCTCTGGCAGGGTTGGATTTAGGAGTGTGGAAAAGTCTGCCAGCCCTGGGGCCTGTGTCCTTCTGCAGCCCACATCCTACAGTGACCTGCTGACAGACAGACGCCCACCCCGGGGGGAACCCCAGGGGTGTGCACACCTGGATGCTAGTGTGGGGTGCCCCACCCCAGGCACAGTGCTATCACCATGATCCATCTGGCCATTGGTTTGGATATGAACTGCTTACTGCTGGAGGGGACCCTGGGCCTCCCTCTGGCTTCAGTCCCAACCTCCTGCCACCTCCCTGGCCTGTCGTCTGGGGACACCTAATCTTCTCTTGGTCCACAAGCTGTCACAGACATGGACACCTGGCTTAGAGGGTGGGGGACAGAATCCAGCTGGTTTCCTGGAAGAAGTGGCCATGCCAGAGCCCTGAAGGGTGACCAGGAGGAGCCAGGAGGGGCTGACAAGTGGGCTTAGTGGGTAAAGAGGCTTGCTTCCAAGCCCGACAACCAGAGTTTGATCTCCTAAGCTCCACATGGTAGAAGGAATCAAGTCACAAGAGTTGTCGTCTGACTGCCACACCTGTGACATGACATGGCAGGCACACACCTGCACACACAAGATAAACTTAGCAAATGTCATAAAGGGGTCACAGAGCTGGTTCAGAGGTTAAGAGCACTGACTGCTCTTGCAGAGGACCTGGGTTCGATTCCCAGCACCCACATGGCAGATAACAATCATCCATAACTCCAGTTCCAGGGGAGCCAAAGGCCCTCTTTTGGCTGCTTTGGGCATTGCACACACATGGTACACTACATACATGTAGGCAAAACACTCATACACATTATATATAAAAATAAAAAAAATTGGGGCTGGAGAGAGAGTGCGGTGGTTAAGAACACTGACTGTTCTTGCAGAAGACCCGAGTTCAAATCCCAGCACCCACATGGCAGCTAACAACTGTCCATAGCTCCAGTTCCAGGGGATCGGACAGCCTCTTCTGTCCTTCGTGGGCATTGCACAACACGGGTGCACTTACCTACATGCAGGCAATATATGCATACACATAAAATAATAACAAAATTTAAAAAAAAGGACTGACTTAATCACGCACACACATAAAAAATTTAAAAAGTAAACCAGAGATGGGAGGACACTGGTGACAGTTCAGACAGCTCTGGCTGGGAGTTTACTCCCCAAGATTGCCACCCAGCCCTCAAAGCCAGTCCACCTGAGGCTTGGCCATCAGCCTAGGACACAGTGGCATCAAGACAACCCAGAAGTCACGCTTTATTAAGTCACAGCCCAGTCCTGTGACTCTACAGCCAGCCAGGGAGCCAGTCTCTCCAGCAAACATCTCCCCGCGGGATATCCGCCAACCAACCAAACTGCTGTGTTGGGACTAAAGTAGGCCCCAAGCAGCAAGCCTTTCTAGAACAGGGAAGACCTCAGGCTCTGTAGGTTGTGTCCCAAGATAAGATCTTTTGATTCAAAACCAACCTTCCAGAACAGTCTCCTGAACGTCAGGGTAGTGGCGGGAAACCAGATCTTAATAACTAGTTAGATTCGTGGAAGAATGGGATTGGTTGATAGTCACAGGGGTCACCAGATCTGAGCCTCAGCTGTGACTGGCACCTATGACACACCTGTCACACTGCGTCTGTTCCACCTGGAGGAGTAACTCAGACCAGGAAGTGACATGTTGCCTGTCCCCTCTGCCTCACATCTGCCGTGGTTCCATCTGCCGTGGTTCCCTGCTGTCCTGTGCTGGGGAGTCACTCTTTGAAGGCTGTGTGCCAGAGTTGACTCTGTACGACCCCCTCCAACTTTGGCTACTATGAGCATCTGCCTGACTCAGTTTCCCCCACTTTCTATGAGGACTCAAGACTTGCACTGCCACGGAGCCTTTGTACAGGCTGTTCAATCTCCTTTTTATTTCATTTAAACAACGCAGGAGTCTCATGGGTGCACTCAGAACTGGCAATTCTACAGGAACATTTGAATTTGTCAGTGACTCAGAGCCTAACAGCCTCACCCGAGGACGGAGGTAGGCAGCCCTCTCTCAAGGGGTCAGGTGAGACCTTGAATTCTTGAATTTGGGTATCACTCCTCTGACAGGTGATTCAGGTGAGGAAGAAGCTGTTTACTGAAATGGGCAGGCTCGCAGGTGTGTCGACCCAAAAGCATAACTCTTACCTCGAAGGGTATGAGAGAGAGTTTATTCTGGAGTCAGATAAGAGTGACCATAGCCCAGGAACACAGATTTAGGATACCCCAAATTCCATGTTCCAATGCCACAACAGAACAAAGGAAAGTCATAAATCAAGACACTTTTCAAATATATGCAAAGCGGGGTGGGGGGGTCTACTCTAGGTCTCTAAAGCTATCTGATGACATTCTTAGCTTTTTGATTGGTCAGACCTGGTGATCTGCTAAGTTAATACATTTTATTGGTCACAAGAATGTTAATTTAGAAACAGAAGTAGGCAGTGTTTGGCTATTTATGGGGTTAAAGATATCCCCAGATGATTTGTGAATAGGCTCCATTTCAGACCCTCCACAATCTCTGGAGCCCTAATCAGCTGGTGAGCCTTGAAGGAAGTTCAGTCAAAGGTGCAGGAGTTCTTTTGGGAACTTTCTTTTTTTTTTGTCTTTTTGAGTAGACCAGGCTGGCCTTGAACTCACAGAGATCCACCTGCCTCTGCCTCCCAAGTGCTGGGACTACAGGCGTGTGCCAACACACCCAGCAAGGGAACTTTCTCTCCTAGCTCACCTGGGTCACCTGGTGACTGATTGGTTCTCGGGACCAGCTTTTATCTCCACTTCCTCCTTCCTCATCCCATCAACTTCCTTTCACCAGTGTCCTGAGAACGCAGCTAGATTGGATGCGGCCTTCCACTGAGCCCCTGCTTCAGGTAAGGCCACCCGAAGACTGTCTACCACATGCTGAGTCACAGCCGGTCCTCCTGAGCTCTGCCCTTCTCTCGCTTGCTTTGTTCTTGTTGAAGCTGTGTCCCTGCTCAGAAGCAGAGGGTCTGCTGGCTTGGGGACGGATTGGACTGCACAGGCTGGGTTCCTGGGGCAGGGCAGATTTTCCCGGGTACATCAGGCAGAGTGGCTGGGGCGTTTTAACCTCACCCTGGTCTGCAAGCTGCCTTGGTCACTGGTTGAAGTCCCTAATCAGTTGTATGTTTTGTTTGCTTGGAGTTTTTTGCTGTCTATTTGTCTTGTATTTCTTTGAGGGTCTTATACAGCCTGGCTGGCCTGGAACTCACTGTGCAGCTGAGGATGACCCTGAACTCTATCCAGATGTATGTTCTCTTTGGACTCTTTTTGGTTTTGTTTCATTTGTTTCAGATTTTTTTTTTTTTTTTTTTTTTGAGGGTTTTATGTAGCCCAGACTGGCCTTCAACTCACTAGGTAGCTGAAGATGGCTCTGATCCTCCTGCTCCCACCTCCCAAGTGCTGGGGTCACAGGTGTGCACCACCATACCTGGTTTACCGTGCTGGGGATGAAATTAGGACTTTGTACATGTGGGGTGAGGATACCCCTGAGCTATAAGCACTCTACCAACTAAGCACTGAGCAGCCTACCCATAGAGCCCCAGTCATAGCCCTATTTTTGAATTCAGATAAAGCCTCTATACAGCCCAGGCTAGAGTGACCCCCACCATCCTTCAGTCTCAGCCTCTGAGTGCTAGGATGACAAGTGTGCACCACCAAGCAAGACTGAGGTTCAGTTTTTTGGTTTTTGTTTGTTATTTTGGGCTTTTGGAGACAGGGTCTCCTTGTAGCCCCAGCTGTCCTGGAACTCACTATGTAGACCAGGCTGGCCTTGAACTCACAGAGATCCACCTGCCTCTGCCTCCAGAGTGAGTACTGGGATTAAAGGCGTGTGCCACCACACCCGGCAATATTTTAATTTTAATTTTTAAAATTAAAATAATAATTGTGGACCAGAGAAAATGCCCCAGCAGGTAAAGGCGCTTGCCACCAAGCCCAACCACCCAAGTTCAATCCCCATGGCAAAAGAACCCCAAAAGTTGTCTTCTGACTCCAAGGAAGACACCAGGCAGAGGGGCTGGGGGCATGGCTCAGGGTAGAGTGAGCCTAGTTACACCACCCCTGGATTCCATCCCTAACACAAGGAAAAGAAAGCAGAAGGTTGTTACTATCAGTCATCGATGCCCATCTGTCTCTAGAACTTTCTCAGAACCCAAAGCAACACCATTTCCATTAAACCATATGTAATCCACAGAGAAATTATTAACC